ATTGGAACATTGAAGTCCAACAAGTACAAAACCTCAGAGTAGTCTGCATTCAAGAGTCAAACGTACCCCTTCCCGAACTCCTCATCTTACTCGAAAAGTCACCCGAAATCGAAAGTCTGGAGGTGCAGGTGACCCCTCCCGCGACCATGCCAACCCCCGAAAAACGCCTCGTCCTCTCCAAATTAGCGACCCTCAAGCTCACGGTCGACGCTTCTCTCATCCAGTTTATCGAAGTCCCAGCTCTAAGCTCGTTCCATGCAACCTCGATCGATCTCGGTCGAGCACTACCCATGTTCAGCCCTGCCGTTCCACCTCTTACCATGTGGAGATTCCAAGGCTGCAGTAAATTACAGGAAACTCTCCTTCCTCTCCCCGACACGCTAACCAGTCTCATTGTGCGAGGCTCATCCCTTGAACCAGACAAATTGGTGGATAGATTAGTAGCTGGGGAATGTCCCAAATTAACGCACTTTGACATTTCCTCGAGCAAGGTTACGACAAGCCCCATTATCCGTCTCGTCAGGTCGCGGAATTCTCCCATCCCCAACAATGACGAAAAGGAGTCAACGCCAAGAACAAAGATACGAGAACTGATTATGGATGGCTGTAGCGAGATCGACTCTGGTATCCTGGCCTGGCTCGAATCCCGCGTATCTTCCATGAGCTGCATATACGAGAGAAAGGTATCCAAACGACGAAGACTATTCTGAAAGGATTGTTCACCGGTGCACAAAGTCGTGAAAAACAAGTGTATTGCAAGATGAGTGGAAGACATTCATGCTATCAAGTCAAAACAAGCAGAAGTGACGGTAATGTCTGGTGTTACGAGACAAATAATGTCATGAAGGATCGTGGACAAGAACAAGAGTGAAGACAAGAGCAAGTACAAGTCAGTTCGTGAGGGATGAGGGGATACAGATTATAAAATTGCCGACTCTGGGGCTAACGGGTGAACAGAGAGTATGCAAATGTTTTGACAACATGCATATATGGTCCGGCCGCTTTGACGGCCAAAGGCAATGTACCAAC